ATTCGCAAAAATCCATCATTTAATTTGATGCTAGAATGGGATTGATTATAGATACGCGAAGCAAAAATTAGCTTTGGATTTTCTCTGGAAAATTGTAAGTGCTATGCTAAAATTGAGATAGATGATATGAGTATCCCATTAATCAAAGAAGATAACAGACCTACAGATGATTCTTCAAGCTATAAAGCCAGCTCCACTAAAAATAACTTATCTATTGCAAAGCAATAGGACTTTGTCCCTAAATCAACAGAATCTAAACCTGGTCTAGCTTAAGAGGAGGTTATAAATATAATTAATAAAGTTCTCTCAAATATCAAAGATAGACTTGAAGGGTCATTGTTTTGTAATAATAAGCAATAAAAGAAATGTCATAGAATATTTCACAACAAATCTAAGACAGAGACTGATTTATCCAGCTCTGATTCAGAATCCATAGATTTAGACTGGTATGATCTTGATCCAATAAACTCCCGAAAGAATCATATTCATGTTAAAAAGAAAAAGATTGTTTTCTCCTATCCAAAAAAATTATAAAAATAAGCTTCGTAATAGAACCTATTCTTCAGAGTAGTGATTTATCCAATCAGAATAATTAAAAAACTGTTAATGGTCAGAAATTTATCAATCAATCACATCACGGGTAGGATCAATATAGAAGTTTATGGAACATGTCAAATAAAAAGCCCATGATCTCATATTTATCCTACATATTTATTGCTCTACGCTTTCACTGTTACTATTTGGATTAAATTTTGATAGGTCTCCTAGTATTTGAGATGATAGATTTTTGTATTGACATAATTCTCACTATCTCATTTATCCTCTATATCATATCTTATATTTTCTTTTTTATGATCTTTATTGTATATAGAGCAAGATACTGTACTATTAAAATCAAAATAATCATAATTTTTATAACTCTTTAGGATTGTCTCTTCAGTCCTGCTATACTTTGAAGATAAGTAAGAGAACTGCTCTAGCACTTTATTAATGACAGATTTTCACTTCTCTTCTGGATTATCAGATAAAATAAAGATTAAGAATTGTTATTCAGATAGTGTAGATTGAATATTTACCCATGGTATAAATAAAGTCTTTTTCTCAAAAGATATTTGTGTGAATTGAGTATGGATTTTTGTAAAATTTTAAAGTCTTTTGTGTTTGCTTACATAAATTTTTATGCTTGATACCAGAAACTTGCTTGATAATAAAATTATATACTCGACCTTTTATTTTCTTCTCCCCAATTTATCATTGATCATAAATTCTTTGACTATATCTAGCATACAAACACCAATATGATATTTCACTTGCTTAACATATACAGTAGTAACTTTTGAGGCAATGTGCTTATAGTAAGAGGCTAAAAATTATCTGCTGATTGATCGATATCACCTGATAAGAGATCTGGAACGCACTATGAAAAAATTTCAAATCACATGAATTTTCTGTCCGGCACGTGATGTAGACCAATGATTGTGATTGATGATAACGAAAGTACCCTAGCCATGGTGAAAAAAAAGTTACGGGTCATGTAATTCTAATCTATCTGAACTAATCAGATTTTTCCAATCCAAAATTCCAATCCAAATTCTGACCCAAACTCCAAATCATATTATTGTATTAAATAACAAACTTATAAACTCCTTAAAATATGATTAAAATTGTTAATTTTTTCTAACAAATTTGATTTGATTCGACTTGATTTGTTTGATGAAAAATATATTGTTCTTGATTTATTTGATTTGATTGATGAAAAATACATTGTTCTATGCTTTTTTATTCATACAGATTATATTCACAATAAATTCTAACTGTATCTATTATATGTAAAATAAAAATTAGTCCTTCCTAAGTTAGATGTATACAAATAACATAGAATAAAAATTATTAGTTTATTAAAATAATATATCTTTAAAGTGCTATATCATAAATCACGTGCTTACCTCTCCTTTTGACATATCGCTAATTTTTAGACATGTTCTTCTAGACACGATCTTGCATAATTTTTTTCTATCTAAGTCTGTTCTACATCTAATATTTACATATAAAAAAAATGAGTGAAAACAAATCTCAAAGTGAAAAAACATGCAGTAGCTGTTATACATTAAAGAAGATTACTGACTTTTGCCACCCTTCCACTAATATTCCAGAATATGAACATGCTACTTGTAATCAATGCTCTGTAAGATTGAAAAACAAATGCCAGGAAAAAAATATTTATACATCAAAAAAGAAAGCAAAATTAGAAATAAGCAATAATATAAATTGAAACAACATCTTATCTCACAATAATAACATCTTTAATGATATTAAACAGCTTTATATAAGTGGCAGTACTGAAGATATCCTGGATATAACACTAGATGAAAGTACTGATAGCAACCAGTAGAGTGATAACTCTAAGATGCTCCTATATGATTTAGATAAAGTATTCTAAAATTGTTGATAAGTATTTTAAAGAAGCAAAAATATCTAACGAACCTGCAAAATTTGCTTTTGAGATTAAATTAGATCAAGATCTTCTTGCTACGGTTTCACTGGATCAATAAAACTTAGCATCAAACATACTCGATTTAAAAATAATTGAAGAAAGATTTCACCAGCTTGCAAATACACTTATTATACCGCTTGAGTCAGATTCCAGTTATTATTAAGAGATACGCAAAATATACCTAAATAGCAAAAAGAAAATATTTTCAGGTTCTGCTATAGTGTATCTTGGCTGCATAATGTAGGATGATCGGGCCTGAAGAAGACCAGACAATCAATTACCAAGAAGATAAAGTGAAGTTCATACTTCTATTGAAAGGTATACCTGCGTAGGAAATATCAAACTCATAATAATTCCGAAATAATAATACGTTTTTGTTCAAGATAATCATCAAATGGAATACGAGAAGCCAACATACCGGTGAGTTGAATTTCTTATAAAGGCAAGAAAATGGATTCAAAATAACATTAAACTCAATATGCGAAGCACAGAAATCTATTATCAGCTTTACAAGAATAAACTTCTTAATCCAGAGATCCACACAATAGAGCAGGAATATTATTAGATGTCAGTATATAGCAAAACAACTTATATAATGAATCAAGTGAATCAGTTTTTATCAGCAAAGCTGTATCTTGAAAGGCTTGAACTTACGGAAAGAGAGTTTATAGTTCTTAATTATTTGGAGAATGACTTTGTGCGAGTCTTGGAGTTTCTGACGCCATTAATCAAATGTATTGATATTGAGAATATAACTGAAATTATCATAGACTCTACATTTAAGACAAATCAGGAGAGATTTGAACTCTTTGTAGTAAATGTGAATTGTGATAGATATGGTATACCAATAGTATATCTGTATCTTATCACATCTAGTAGTACTGAGAAAGCTTAGCATGATCCAAGAAATAATGTAAAAACATGAGTCGAGATGCTATGAATGTTCTTCATCAGTCTTTGACAGGAGGGGTTGCAGCTAGTATTTGTCTTATCAGATAAAGATGCAGGATAAATATCAGCAGTTAGTGAGGCTTGGTCATGGATGACCAATATCCAACTTTGTTATTGACATCTTGAGCATGTAATTGATAAATGGCTCAAAGACAAAAAGTCTAAAACAAATACATACTTGGCAGCTAAAATGTTAGAAGCCCATCATAAATTTAATTTTATAGATCCATCATGAATTTAAGATGATACCAGATCCTATCATTCAGATAATTTTAGTAAGGAACTTTTAGAAATAATTAAAAAATATTCAAACATGCATCCGCTCATACCAGTGACCAAAGATTATTTCTTGACTTTGGAAGAGATTTATCATCTTTGTGTTCAAGAGGTGTATCAGTTTTGCTATTCGCGTAATCTTCTAAGATTATGGGGTTACCTATGGTCAAATTGGTATAATGAAAAGGACTGGAAGCTATTTGCTCGATCTTCATACTCGCTAGCCATGCCTTTCGCACGTACCATTATGATCACAGAAAATCACTGGTGAGTTCTAAAGTATAATTATAAATATAATTATAACCACTCACAAGTGAATCGACTCACACAAATTATAATAGAGCAACTTGTATCTGACTATGAAATCAAACTGGTTCAATATAATGGAAATCACATTTTCCCATCATGATGGTATGCATTCAAAAGAGACTGGTGCAAGAATGCTATAATGGATATTTAACCCGATATCGAAGAAAGATATTATGTTGATATTAATAACTGGATCTGTTCTTGTCTAGCATATTTATGTAGTTACTATCACCTTTGCAAATATCTCATCAACAAAAAAAATGGTAGACGATTTCTACCCACTTTTTTGAAGACAGCGTGATGACATGATTATCCTTTACTCATTTTTGGGAATGAGAAAGCATCAGTTATTACTCTAATAAATAATCCCTGGACCAGACTTAGCATGATAGTAGTCAAAAATGATTTTATAGAAGAAGATAGCTCCAGCTCAAGCAACTTACAAAATACATTAATAGAGACAAACCGTGATATGATGAAGGAAAAATGAGCGAAACTTGCTCAATATAAAAAAAACTTTGATGTTGCGTTGGCATTATATAAGTGGGAGATGGATAATGATGACTTTATTAGTAACTTTGATGCCTTGACAAGGCCATTTGTGAAGAAGGTTGAAGGGTACAAAGAAGCATTACAAACTCACACTCAACAGGGTACTTGGAAATCAAAGAACGGAAAGCTTGCCTTTTGGTTACATTAATTTTTTTATTTTATTGAAGTGTTTTAATTAAATATAAATACGATGACGACAAGGAATAATTAAAAGTTTTTTGATTATAATGATTGCATCATAAATGTAGCACATTAGTAAACACCGGACAAGGATCCGGATAGTCAGAAGGATCGGAATCACATGACCCGTAACTTTTTTTTCGCCATGGCTAGGGTACTTTGATGACGACGTCCATCGGAAAAAGTTCCTGAATTTTCGCTACAACGGTTGTATATATACTAGCTCCCCTCAATACTCATGGATTTTTACAAACAAACCACGGAAAACTGGACTTGTGTAAACCTTGTAGAGTTTTATCGTGCCAATTCGAAACAAAAGGAGCGTAAAAAAGTACTGGACAACATAAAGAAAGATCTCGGAAAGGTGGTGAGCTCGGAATCTGGTTTTGACGCGACGCGTAAAAAGAAAGCCCAAAAAATAATTGACAACTGGAAGGTATATTCTATTATTAATAAGATACGATTTAAACAAGTTACGGAAAAGCTGTGACTCTTAGTCTACAGTTATGAACTCTTCGTTCTTCCGGAGTGCAAGCTATGACTCCTAGTCTATAGTGATGAACTCTTCGTTCGACACTTAAGTGAGCGCAAGCTGTGACTCTTAGTCTACAGTTATGAACTCTTCGTTCGACGCTTTCTTTGCTTGTATATTTATGTTTGTTACATATTGTTTCTTGTAAGCACTGTTAACTTTGCATTCTTGTTTAAGGATTGGACCATGATGAGCGATGATACAGATTTCAAATTCGAGTTTAATCAGGTGAGATTCTACCTTCTAATCTGAAAACTTAAGACAAAAAACACTTGAGTAACATTTTTCTTCGATTAGATACAACAGCAGGTGCTCACGACGGGTAATACTGTGACTATTGATAATATCGATAATCGTCGTGTAACTGGGAAACATCTCAGAGAAGATGAAATGGAAACAACGGTTGATGTAACTCCACTGAAGCAGGTGGAAAAGGTAAGCACTGTACCAATATTTCTGTGAATAAAAAAACCTATTTATATGTTCTGTGGATTAGCTTCCTTGTGAATTTGAAATTCCTCAAACAAAGAGACCAAGAAATGTTCCCCCTATGAACCTGCAACAAGAAGCAATCATTGACGCTGAGCTGACAACTAGTGATAAATTCCAAGAAACTAATACTAAAAAAGCAGGAAAGGTAAATAGTTTGGATTATTCTGATACAAGTTCTACATCAGACCACAGGAAGGTAAGTACTAATTGTTCTTCATTGATTGTCGTGATAATGCTTCATTTTTTGTAATACGGTCAGGCAAAAACGTTTGATGTCTCGTTTGACGAGTACGTTGGCTCAGGCGTGAACATACAAGACAAAAGTGATGATATAGCTGAGTCAAGCGAAGATCTTGAGGACGAGAACGATGAAGAGATAAAATTTAATCTTGATGACATCTCAAGAGAATTACAGCGTGAACCAGCGGTTAAAGTATGTCATGTGTTGGATTTTGTTTTTATATTTCGCATATCTCAGTCTTATTTTTTTTAGTGGGAGGTCGATAATATTAACGTAACAGACAGATTTCGAACCTACCAAAAAGATATACTTAAGAAGGCGGAACGAGAAGGTTTAGATTATAAAAACATTTATGAACTTCTGTAGGTATTCTGAAATATAACATTTATAACGATTAAATCAAGATTTATTATTAAAAAATTTTTTTTCACCATTTCATTTAGAGCATTATCTTCAATCATTGTTCTCACATGGCCGAATCCATACCCTAATATATTCACAAAACGAGAGTGGGCAGAAGTTATGAAAGCAAGTCCATATACTATTAAAAACTCCCCGCTTTCAAAAGAAATTTCAACGTCCCTTCATGAAGCAATTTGCAACAATTTTATCGGTGAAGATGCTTATATGATTAGTGGGAAAACGAAGCTAAGTCGAGATGTAGCGTGCTCCTTTAATGATTTGTAAGTATGCAGGTTTCATCATATTTTGTTTATTATCTACGAGTTGTGGCTCACAATGATACATTACATAGATATAATGGCTTATCAATGTCCCCATCAAAAACAATGGAAAAAATAACGGAAGAAGAGCATTGTTACATGTTTCTCTACCCAATTACTAAACCCTTCTTCCTCAATCCCTTAAGGGAGTACAAACTTGTTCTGAACCGTGCTACATCAGGGTCAAGAAAAAGGCCCGATCTTTCTTGTGTAGTCGACGATATCACCATACTCAACTCGGAAATTAAACCATTAAAATGTACTCCACTCCAGCAGAAAAAAGACACTGTGAAGACACACTTACGAGCCCGCAAATCAATTAATATGCAACTACAAAGAAAAGGTGGTCCAGCTGAAGCCGGTATATTTTTGAATATGGGTATGTGCTTACAAAGAAGCTGTCATATTTACAGTATGTTACTGAATTAAGATTTGTGATAATTAGGCGAATGGATGGAGACGTTTTTCATGGATTTAAAGTATGACGGATTATACCGTTCTTGGTTGTTCCATAGAACAAAGCTGGTGGTCGAAAAGGCTTCAATCCCGTTAGCGGAATTTGCAATTAGCCATATTATCGCTTTGGAAGTATGTGATATCTTCAGTTAGAGTTTTTAACGAAATAATTGTTATAACTTTATCTTTTGCAATGTAGGAACGTATTGGGAAGCTTGCAGAAGACTACAAATATCGAGATGGTCAAAATCAAGAGGATCGAAACGATCAAATTACACCACCTACATCTTTCATACGTAAATTTCCAAATACTCCACAAGTACAGTCAATTTCATAAGTAACTGACCCCTATTTTCTCGTCACACAATATAATAAAGAAAAAAATTCTTTTTTTATT